TTCAATTTTGGCAGTTTGATAATTATTTATTGACTTCTCAAATATGCCAAGCACTGACAGTATACGCCTGTAGAACAAACTCATTTGTGGTAATTTACAAAGCCATTATCACTCATTAATTTTGCACATCATTGTTTGCTCACATACAGTAAAATGTCACGCCCCGAGAAGAGAAAGGACAGAAGAATATCAAAGACATGCTTTGATCAGATAACTTCAGTCTTAATAATAATGAACTCAACCAAAAACAGAGTGTAATTAGCTGTTGATAGTTAAAGGCTGCTCACATGTGAGTGACCAGGAGCCTCCCTTCATCTGCCCCATGTCCTCAGAGCTAATTGTGCAGCGGCAGGTAGAACAGAGGGAGCTGGACACTGGTGTAATGGGCCTTTGATCTAACATGAAAGGAGTTAATTGATTTCTGTGTTCGGGCCAGTTCTAAGGTGCGCCATATAGGAAGAGAGCCGCGTGGTCATTTCCAAACATTTGCCAATATTTGTTGGAGAGAAGAGAGAGATCAGCACACACTGTTCTCCATCCTTACTCTATTATGATAATGCGACTCACATGGGCTGCTGTGCAGGAGAGGAGGAGATGCCTGCTCCAGGACATCACTCACTTTACCTTGGCAGAGGTATGGGGGCTGCATTCATGTGGCGGGCCGGCTCTAGTTAAACTACACAAGACCACACTGCTCCTGGTTGGACAAGAAAAACACAAGCTGACGTCAAGCCGAGGCAAAGGTGCATAGTGCAACCGGCGTCATTAGTCATGTAGAAGTGGTTTGAAACAAAATAGTTCAAGCATGCCATAGCTCCTGAGTTATGGCAACAAAAAGAATACCATGTGTATCTGAATGTCGGACAAAAAACAAATAGTTGGAGTAGTTCTGTCGAGAGCTCACCACATTAACCAGAGCGACCAGGGTTTCAACCTGAGGTCAGAGGACACGGCTTGTGCTGGTTCTATATCTCATACGCCTTTGGGGACCATTCACACGGCAACTTGATTCTAACGTACAGATACTAATTATGGTGCACCTCAAGAGGCACATCCGTGGCATTATGGGTAATAATCGCTTCACCAAAATATATAAATAAATAATAACAGTGATAATAATAGTAGTTCCACTAAAATGGAATAATTTGAAGAAAATTAATACAAATTTCTAAAGCAAATAAATGTAATCAATTAAATGAAAAATATCTTCAAGATATATCTAATATATGTTTTTATTTTTATCGAACACAATTAAAGTACAGCTTATTCCTCCACAGATCTATGGGGTAATTGTTGAAATGTATTTTACAGAAGAAACTTGTAAAAATGACTTGTCTTTAACCTTTGTAAAATCATTTTTAAGACTGGGCCATTTTTTTTTCAACATTAAGTTCTCTTTTCACAGTTCACAAAAAATGTGAAGTGATGTAAAATAAGAAGTGATGTAAAATAAGTTAAAAAAATACTCAAATTTGGCAAAATGTATCTTGATTTCACCACATTTTGACTGCCTTAGAACAAGATTTTCCAATGGTACAAGCAAATTATCTTGTTTAAGAAAGTTACAAGAAATGTCTCCCCTGGAATAAGAAAAAAAAAGCAATAGTTCTTGAATGAAGAAAAAATGGCTTTGTCCATTGGCAAATCAAATGAGTCAGATTGTACTCAAAATAGGACAAAAAATTCTCAATTCCAGCCATTGGTACCTCATATTTTATCATTATTTTCTGTGTATCCCTAATTGGTGGTAAATTACGCATTTTGACTTTTTGCCTGCATGTTTTTTTCCATCTGTAATAGCGCAGGCGCATTGGCAGGCACTTTGTCCACGTTTCCTGTATCATAGCGACCATTAGCCTCCTTTAAATCCCTCCTTCAACACGTGTGTGCATGTGCCTTGCCGTTCACCTGCGCGCTTGGCCCAGGCCTGCACGCCTCACCTCTGTGTGTTTGGGCTGCAGAGGGCTCAGGGGAAGTGGGCCTGTCAGAGGGAGAGTGGCAGGCTAAGGCCGTCTTAACACAGCACCTCAAACCACCTCATAAATACTGGCTTCCTCTTCCAATTTCCAAGCAGTCCATCCAGCTCTGTCCACAGGCCTCCTCGCCGCTGCGTGTCATGTGCCGGGGTGTGAGTGTAAAAATGACCACGGGACATCTGGTGCACTCTAGGAGGGTGGGGCTTTGATGTCTCGCAGTGCAGCCTGACTTGAGAAAAGGCCGAGGTGCAGTAAGTGGGCCTGGGAGAGAAGAGAGGAGATAGTGAGGGAGTTGAAAAGATTCCTTAAAAACATGTCGGCCATATGTCAAAGGCTTAAATACGCAGCAGACAGCGCCTAACCGATCCTTCAGCACTCAAGCTGCTCTGCGAGCTTCTCACCGCGCTGTTCTGTACTTTATCATCAGCTTACACCAAAAAGAGATACATTAAGAAAGCTAAAGAGGGTCTTGTAATGTGTATTGCCGTCTAAGATATTACCAGAAAAAAACATGCAATTTGGAGATACAGAATGTTATTAATATTTGTGTGTTTTCTGCTCATTACAAAACAAAATATAGCTGGGGTAAGGTGGGGTGTCTTTTTTTCACCCCATAAAAAATGTTGATTGTCTCAAATAAAAAGAGTCTTGTGAAAGTAAATTGTTGTGAATAAATCAGACCACACACAACTTGCTGTCTTTAGCCAATTAGAAAACTCTGTGAGACATTATATGGCACTTTGGGCTGAGTCAGGGTGATCCTCTCTTTTTCCCTTTTATTTCTGAAAAAGCTGTGAAAGAGGCCAAAATAATACACATGATTATTATTGTCATGATAATTTATATCTTTATATATTCAATGTTTGCAATATTGGGGCTCAATATTTATCAGTCTTTGCAATAACTGAGAGCTTGGTCTAATTTCCATTATAAAAGTGAGATCTCTAATCTATACAGGATTGAAAAAGTAATATTTATGACCGATTATTGGTGATTTTTGAGCAATGGTTCCAAAGTGGAGGTCACGTTAACATTAATTTAGAATGTGAAATTATTAGAACAATAAATGTTATACGTTACGGGTCCTGGCCTGAAAAGTTTTAGAGCCCCAGGTTTAGACCCACCTTGTCATTTCAATATTCATCATAAACTGCATTGTTATCAATAGTCAGTATAGCACTATTCCATATAGAGTGGAGAGGTCGACTAATACATTTTTATTTCCTATAGCCAATAAATAATGAATAGAAATACATACATGGGTGGGTTTGTTCACAGCAGGGCCCATCACTGTCATGGAGTGAGTGGAGAAATGTTTTAAAACTCCTCAGAGCTCCAGCAGAAGGCGCCGCTGTCATGTGGCCCTGTCATGTGCCCCACGCCTCACTACGCTCCTGTGAACAACGCCATCGTCACCAGTGAAATCTGCTCCGCTCGCACTAAACTAAAGTCCACAGACTCAGCGGGAGAAGCCTCTAATTAACACGGAAGAAATTACAAGTGTGTCATTGATTTTTGCTGCTGAAAGATTCCACAGAAAGTTTGTGACTCAGTTGTTGTAATTACAGAATTTAAATAAAGTTTAAATGTGCAGAAGAAAGTGTTTTGTATTATTGCAAAAAAATGAAAAAAAAGGCTTCACCTATCATTAAGAATCATTAAGAGTTCAGAAAGATGGATCAGATAATTATTATTATGATAATTATTGTTCCCACAAATGCACATTAAATGTTTCTGATGTGGATCTGCTGAGGGAAATGTGGCAGCAGAGTTCAGGGCCTCATTCACAAAATGTCAAGTTTGTAATCTATTAAAAATCTCAATCTCAGGCGGCAGAGAGTAAATTACGTACGTGGGGTGGGAGTCTATACGTTTTTCTTCTTCCGACTACATTTTGAGCTGATAAATTGTAAATATAGAACCCCATGTGTCCACCGTCACTTTACTCAGCCCCTTTAGCCCATACCCTCATCCTGCTAACATGTACAGATGTAAACGTACAACTATATATTTCTTGCACTAGATTATACAGTATTTTACACTTCTTTATTATGCAAGTTAGAGATTTAATTTTTAAATGATAGTTATTAATCACTTATCTTGTGCTGTGTGCTCCTCATTCCTATGCTCTGTAACTGGTGATGCAACACTGACATTTCCCAACTGTTGGACAGACAGTGGAAAGGCAGTCTGTAAATATATCAGCACAAGGTAAATGAATACATAATTGTGTTCGATGAAAGTAACAACACTTCTTGAAATGAATACATGAAACAAAGGAATCTCTTTTGTTATTATTTTATTATTACTTATTTGAGTTACTTTTCCAGGTCACATTTAAATACAAGCTTCATGGGGTACGGGGAGAGGAGCTGATAAGTCACTGATGCAGCTCAAATGGTCCAATGGGATTACTGTTATTATTATGTGATGCACAAACTGCACACTGCATCAAATCTTGAAATTGTAATAACTGTGATATCACCACAGCAGCAGATTGTGTTCCAATCAACAAACTTGGATAGTGGATAATGAAAAGCATGAACATTACTTTGGGGAAGGATTAAATACATTTAAACTGCTTCCTGCTTCTTTTGAATAAAGTTTAGTTTTCTTCTCTATTATATAGTGAATTTCAAAAATATATTTTTCATTATATTGTAATCTGTTCTGTTACTTAAACTTTTTTACAACAGCCCAAATGTGAGAAATGAATAATTACAAGTAAAATGTATTATTATTACTACAGATAAAAGTATAATACATTTTATTTTTACAAAAAGTGACATAATGCCTCAGACTTACTGACTGCAGTACGAACAGTTTAGTAACTACAGCATTAAAATCTGTGTTTGATTTTGAAAATTACATTTAAATTGTCTTTTATTAACACCTACTACTCAGTTACAAATGATACAATTACACAGACATAAAAAACATATTAAAATACATATTTTAAATTTCCCAGTAGTAAACAGCAAGAAAAATCCATGATGATACCTCCTTTTGAGAATCTAATGCAGCTCAACAGACAACACTTCTTTCGGTGGTAAAGTTGTACTGAAACTGCAAAAGATGAAAAAAGTTTAGATAAGTGATTACATGTTTACAAAATATATGACATTTTTGGAATTGATATGAAACTTCAATCAATTATTGGAACTTATAGATTCGCTTTGTCCAGTCCAGTACCCAGGAGCAGAGATCGGTTTAAAAATGGGGAAAATCTACGAGCAAACACTGCCCTCTTGTGGTCTCTCTCGGACAGAATTGAAAATGTGATGGTCAAAATAAAACAGTATACGCTTTGTCTCATTTATCACTTTTTTTTTTTATCTATGTATATATTTCCTATGTGTGTTTTTCTTATTGTTAAAATAAATACAAATAGTTCCACCAATATAATTAAGTAAAAAAAGCCAAAGATTGTGTTAATGTATGATCAATCATTATACAAGGCTGTTTAAATACAAATGATATTCAACCCATTTCAAATGGGAATGCCAAAATCAAAATGCTTTAGTATTTATAAAGATTATAAACTCAAGGAACCCCAAATCACATTTCCTCAGCATTCCACAAGGTGGCGCTATGTGACCACAAAAATAAGTTTCCAACTCTTCAACACTCAGTGAGCCTCTGTAACTACAGCACACTCTCCTCTCTCAAAATACCACCTCGGCTGATTTTCATCTCTGAGAAGCAAGTTACCAAACCCTGTCACTTATCACAAAACCTGTTAGTTGTGAACATTTCAGCCCCCTACCACCACCACGTAAAAAAAACAACAAAAAAACGGTCCAACATCTGGTACCGTAAATAAATAATCTGGGGTGTGTGTGTGGCGTTGATGGATGGGGGAATGGGGTGTTATCAGGGAGAGCATGTATCAATGTCTGCCAGTTTTACACACGGGCTGACAGGGCACTGACACACCAGTACATGGGCGGCAGTCACCCAGACGAGCAGCGGCTTCCATTTCCCGTCCCTGCTCCACTGCCAAAAATATGTGACATGTTGTCTTCATTAATTCCACCTCTATTTGGAGCGCTCACTGTTGCCCTGTACACTACTGTCCTCTGCATATATGGAAACACAGGCAGAGACAAGGCAGACTGACACGAACAAGATATAAATAACAAAATAATGTCCTTATTAAAGTGCGCTGTGGGACTTTTCTGGTGGAAATGCAGAGAAGTGCTCGTATCCATGGAGATGTAATTGCTTCTTATGGAACGTTCCACTTTTAAAGGCAACCAGGTTAAGTTGTGTTAGTCAGTGGGCCTTTCTGTGCTGAGTTTGTTTGTTTCTAGCAGCATCTGGGTAGGTTTCCTCTAGGTGCTCCGGTTTCCCTGGCCAGCCAAAACATGCACCACTGGAACCACCAGTTTAATTTGTCCTGACCAAGCAGAGCATCCACAACTGGATATGAACCCTTCAGTGTCCGAGTGGCATGAAGGGTCAAATTCAGAAGACAAATTTCCCGACTTGGATAATAAAGTATAAGTATGTGAAGATGTGACGCGCATGAAGGAAGACGTCAAACAGATCCGGATCGATTTAGCAGAAATAAACCCACTGGGCTCTGCAACAATTGTGTGTAGGGAAAAAGGAAAGATGTATGTGTCAGTGATAAAAAAAAAAGTTGTTAAAAAAGTGGTAAATCAGAGTAAATAAATGAATAGTTTAATTGCAAAAAAGAGATAAGTAACTTTCAATTTGCCATATATAAAGTTGCACAAGTTCTTGAGAAAATACTTTCAAATTTACTGCCAATAACAGATTGAAGAATATCACTTTTTGACACATTTTCAAAAGAGATATCCGTTTTTGCAAATTAACTCGTCAAATGTACAAGGAGTGAACGATACTGAAAAACATCAACTATATTTCTGCATGATCTCAATGAGAATTTTCAGATGATAACAGTCACATGTGTAGTGCATTTTTCCCCTAAATGTCAGAGAGTATTCCTGAAAATGTGAGACAAACTTCTTCTCTGACAATGTTCAAATCCAGGTTAAAAAAAAAACATTTCCATTCAGCTGTGCATTCTATCTGTTCCATTTCTTGCCAATGGTTGTTGTGTGATTATCAATACATTTACCTGTATGATTATAATGCTTATTTTTGCTATGTGGATCAAGAGTTCCATACAAATAAATTGGTATTGGTAAAGTATATAACTGTATTTTTATTTCCTAACTCATAATAGGAACAATACTCCAGCACATTCACTTAAGAAGCAAACATATAGAATTACGTAAAATAAGACAAAACCGGGTTAAAAATAATGTAATGTTTGTTTCATAGACTCCTAATTTGTGAGATATTATGGATCCTATTGTTTTCTTTCAACACAAAGACAAAAGTACATCTCAATCATGAAACAAGCAACAGTAGCATCACCCATATATCACCCATAGGTGCTAATGAAAATCTTGTCATGTCTGCCTACACACCAGTTTCCAACCTCCTTTTCAAAATCATTAGCCAGATGCCAACAACATTTTATCAGCAGTGCAAACTACATAAAGATGTCACTTTAAATCGCTTACTAATTAACACTTAAAAAGACACAAATTAGATATGCGTGGCTAAAAGCAATTATAATATCTGCAAGTTTTGTGAGTCATTTGGGAAATGAAAAGAATGCCTAATTGCTGGAACCAACATCATCCGAGACATGGCTTAAGTGATGCCTGTTAGGAAATGGTCTTATCTACAACTGTGATTATAACACTTTGACTCAATTAAATGTTCATATGCTGCTCCGCAAACTACATCTCCTTTATGCATCTCTATTTTAATGGGAAAAGGAAATAAGGCAATTACAAAGACTGCGAAATGGCTTGCAGCTTTTAAACAGCCTCCGACTGTAAAAGAATAGACAGTGACCTCTTCTGGACGATACAAGAAGTTTTAAACATGAGGAAAAAGTTGGGCATGGGTTTTAAGTAAAGTGAGTTGCTTCAAACCCATTGTTAACGCTTTTGGGAAGAAATAAACGGAACAAATGTTAAAGTTGCTCAGAAATGAAATGAAAGTACATTGTGTGAACCTTCCACATCATTCTATTTGGCTCAGGGAACAAAAAGCTGAGTTTTACTAAAGCTAGACAGGCCAAAAACAGCTAATTATACACAATTTAGTTATATATCAGAATAGTGTGTCCTATGTCGGTTTGTGAGAATTGTGACTTGATCCTTCCCCAAATTTCACCAATTTTATTAAGATAAGATAAGCTTTATTGATCTCACAATGAAGACATTTTCAATGATTACTATTTCAGGTAAAACAAAAATAAGCACATTTAATTTAATACTACAAAAATAAAAGAGCAATTTCAAGTAGGGTGACTGAAAATTGGAGTGAAAAAGGAGATTTAGGTAAAAAAAAGATGTAAAAAAGACGATAATGTTTATCTAATAATAAATTAAATATAACAAAAATCAATATGAAGACATGCGTATACACAGTCACAATTTGACTCCTAAAACTCAAAAATAAAACTCAAATTCAAGTTGAACTCTATAAAAAACTTTGGCTGTCTTGCACTATATTTTCCGTGTGGATAACATTGACAATCCTTCGCCCTGTTCTCCTGATATCATCGCTGGATAATAACAAGGGGAGAGGAGTAAAAATAACACAATGGTGAGGGATGCTTCCACTTGGAAACTAATTATCAAGCTAAAGCTGTGACTTCATTCTCATCAGCCTGGCCCCAGCCATTAATCTTGTGCTGTCCTCCACTTCACTAAATCCTGTGTTACACTATCTCCCATTTACTTCATCAGCTCCAGCAGCAGCAGCGGCAGCAGCAGCAGCAGCAGCAGCACGGGCCGTAATTAATGATTTCTCATGGCCTTCCCTCCGCTTCCCCCCGGCTCAGCTCACCATGTGTCCTTCTGCTAATCACACTCCAGGAGAAAAGCAAGGCACGCTGCACGGTATGGGCCTGTTGAGCCGGGACGTGTACAGTAAACATACACACATAGCTGCTTTTGACAATGCAGGTGACCATATATGACAAGATGGCGACTGGGCGTGATTGGGATAGTGCGTGACAGAAGACACAGTGTGGTTTGATGAGCCACTGTTTGCTCTGTAACATGTCTCCGAAACCTCAAGCAGCACCTGTTCTTTCTACAGTGGTCTGTCACTTCCTGGCAGTTCTGATACCGAGATACCGTGCTAATGAGAGAGAAGGGGGGTTGTCACTTGGCTTAAAAATGCGCGCACACACGCTGTCTTCTACCTTTCTTTTTCCTCTCAAATGCACAAGCTTGAAAAAGTGCACTGCTGATTTTTCTACCCGTGAATGCCTGCAGGGTACAGTGTTTTATCACCAATAGAGAGGAATTTGTCTTATTTGTTCATTGTGATGTCAAAGTTTCTCAGCGCGATTCCTAAACAGTCGTAGAATCATTCAGAGAGAGCAAAACAAGTGTGTATGGAAAACCTAAATAGTCACATTTGTGCATTTGAGTCTTTCTAGATAGAAGTCAAAATGTCTCAGTACTGGAGGTTGCTGTCAAGATATCATGAAAAGACCAATGAGCCGGTTAAAATGCAGCCTTGGATTTGCAAAGGTTTGTAATGTGCTTTTGGGCTTCCCTAAAGTGGGAGACTGTTAACTAAACAAATTGTAAATGCTTGTTTAAAAAAAACTGTTTAATTATAGGTGCATTCCTTTACTGTCCTGGCGGTGACCTGCATTTTGTGAAGTGGTCCGATACCTGCTTCTTGAAAGTATGTTATTGCTTTGCTTGAAATGTTGCTCAGTTTGGTTTAAAACATGTCCACTCCTCCATTATTAATGATGAATATAACTCTCCACATCCGATTTTGGGGGCCCACCACCGGGACAGTGGAGGAATGCACCTTTAAGTGTGTTTTTTTTCTCCCATAGGCTATTCGCTTTGCACGGCTAAAACTGTAGCATGGAATAATCTGCATATTTAACATCACAAGGGGTTTATAACTAATTACAATCTTGTCCGTTTACAAGCGCGGTACAGGCACAGAATACGCTGGGATTGAACCCATGTGGCCTGTATAACATTGGAGACGTTTGAACACTGTTACGATTTCAGCCAACAAATATTGCTGAAAGCGTAATAAAATGTAAAAATACGCATATGATAGAGCAGCAGGGTACAGAATACGAGCGTCTTTCCGCGGCTATAGCACTTAGGTCTGTGCTTTTCCTAAAAGCGAAACCACAAACAGTCACTTGTGGACAGGGTAAACGGCTGGGGTAGTATTCTGTCTAACTTTGAGATTGAGCTGTTCCGAGAGAGAGAATTGGGGGAATAAAAGTCAAGTGTTTTGGAACAGGAGCCGAAGCTTTTAAGAGGGACTGGCTCGCCTTAACCTGGGCCATGCTTTTTTATTCAATTGGGGCTTAGTGGAGCCAACAGGGCCTCGCTGTCTCACACACTTAATTACAAGCCCAAGACCATTTTGCTTTGCATTCTGGGCCAGCGGCGTCTGTGGCAGTGGAGCGTTGCAGCCCCTACTCACTTCCTCCTCGATCTCTGCCAGGGATTTGATCGTAATGCCCATTAAATTGACTTGCTGCATCTGAAATCAAACGCAGGGAGTGGGGGGAGGGGGGTGGACGGGGAGAAAACACACACAAGAAACATGATGGTGAGGCTCATGGCTAAGTAAGCATGCTTAAAATCTTTAATCCTCCCTCTCCGTGTCAATACAAGAGAGGCTATAGTGACAGCCGCCACCAGACGACCAAATGGACTACATTGAGCCAGCCTTGCATGACTGCTCGCATTCATCATTCAGTCTGCGACGGAAGGAAGTACATAGGAGAGGTGCTGAATTCCTATATGTTATAAATAGAAGGACTAAAGGGTAGCAGCTTTTATGACAATGTCAAAAAAATACACTAAAAAAGCCTATGATCTATTATCACTCCCTCTACAATTGTTTTTACCTCTGTCTTGGTGTCATGAAACTTCTCCGAGACGACAAAAGGCACGTCATCCAGAGCTGCAAAGGAAAATAAATAAATTATATATTAACTTTATATTTGATCTTGACTTTTTCAACAAGACAAAATACAGGATAATCCGCCATCAAACCCGGGCGAGCGTGGCGACCCCTCCCGTTTCTGTCTATGGAGCGAAGATGAAAGCCTTTTCTATTCCTCCTTGTATTTGAGCACCTCTCCTCCTGCCTTCTCCCCGTTTAATTACTCTTGATTATTCCCGATTCCGTCTTGTCTGAGAGATGTTCACCTCAGAAACAAAGGCGCGCTCACACAGAGCAGAAAAAAGCGGCAAAGAAGGGAGACAAAACATTCACCAGATATCAAATTTGCATGAAAATAAGGCACGCACTGTTCGGGCGGCAAAAAGTGGATTGGAATGAGGACTTGCCAAGAGCGTGGTGGTATAATTAGCATTTGACCAAACAAACGAGCTTCAACAGAGCTATAATTAAGCAGGCCTGTAATTAAGTGTATGCCCTTTATCATAATGATCGTGGTTAAAATGGTGTGATGGCTGCCAGTTGCTTATTAATGGCACAACCCTGACTGCATGCATCCTGCTCTGGAATCAAGGTGTCACTGCTGTCAGGCTAGAGAGCAGCCCTTTGTTTATAAAATACATTAGGGTACAAATTAACACAGGGTGACAGCGGCCACAAAGCCCCTCTCACTCGCCGACTGAAGGGAAAACTGCAGCTGCTTCATTTGGAAAACTCCAAATTGAGAGGCACAAAACTTGAGAATGAGGGTAGACATCAAGTGAAAGTATCAAATGTAGAACTTAAAACTGTTCTTCGGCTGGCAGACGGAAAGGAACTTGTAAATGTAAGCCCCCGATGAGCCACGGGTTAGGTTCAGAGCAACGTTCTGTAAGACTAGAAGGAAAAATAGCGTTTGGAGTGTTTAACAGCGATCGATTACGCATGAAGTTTCCATAATTGTTGAATAAAAGGTTCTTTGTCGCTGAATTTACGACTGCATGAAATATTTGGAGGATATATGACCAGATGAGATGACTCTGAACTGAAACGGCTGCACCAAACTTAAAAATATAGGAAACTGGATGAATGTATTTTGCTTAGGTCTGTTAGTTATGATATAAGACAACCATAAATGATTAGTTTCTGATTTTGAACATTTATATCAATATTGAGATTTTGCAAGAGAAATAAATCTGCTGACTTCAGAACTGAAAAATCTTGTATTAATCACATATAAGTTAATAACATAAAGTTATTACAACAAGTGCTAGCAAAATGTATTCGTAGTGTGACAAGAATAATTCATAGGGGCTTTAAGTAGCAGGGGAAACCAGAGCACCCGGAGGAAACCTACACAGACACAAGGAGAACAAATGAACACCACTTTACTCCAATTTTCTGCTTCACATAGCGGACAGAAAAAAGGTTAAGAGCGAAGGATCTGAGACTAAACATATAGTCTCACTTCCGTCTACCCCAGGGCAGCTGCGGCTACAGAAGTAGTTTACCATCACTGTGTAAAGTGACTGAATAATTTCATGTGAAAAGATTTGGAACATCCAAAAAGCGATATTGAAAAATGCATCATTATCACTATTCAGACTAACTGATTTTAAAGCATAAATTGGGAGCCAGTGCCATTAATCAAAGCACTAGTGGCTTAAATAATGATTAGAAATGAATGAAAAGGGTACTACATGGATATATGCTTTTATAAGTGAGTTTTCACAATATGTCACCTATTTTGGAAAAATCCAAATGCACAGAACGTACACTCTACTACAGCCAACACAGTCTCATTGCAGTGGCTAACAGTCAATGTGACCAAGTTTGGGTCAAGCACAAGAGGAAATGTGACTTTTGAACCTCTGTGGTTGCACGATACGAAAACAAAATAAAAACACAGCTATGTTTTTCCAGGAGCATCAGGATCAGGCAGAATGCATTTGATTCAAGTCGGCGCTGCTCAGTGGAGATTGCTGCTGCTGATGGATCTCTATGGCACAGACGGATGAATGCACACAGCTGAAGGCCAGAGAGTTTCTTTATTGCTCAAGGATTACATTTAAAACCAGATCTCACTTTGTATTCCCCCACCATCTATACTGCACAGGCTATCTCATACCCAGACAAATGGGGAGGCCCTGGAGATGGCCCGGTGGTGCGCTTTGTGGCTGGAAATGGATGCTGGTGGCAAAGTGGAATCGGGAGGTCCAAAGGGCAGGAATAATGTAAATCCAATCTTGTGACCAGAAATATGATGCACGTTCAAGTCGCTCAAGTGGCCAAGCTACAGTCCATTACCTCACAAGTGTATTACAGAACCAGGAACCCAGCAGTTATTTAGGAGTGTGAAAGAATAGGTTAATAGGAAAACATCTGCTGGGACTTTTTTTTAATAATACCATAATGCCGACGGTAATGGTGGTGCAGAAATTGTATAAAGTGTTGGAATGTTCTTGTTATGAGGTATAATATCTGTCACATCTTTAGATCAGCGATTTCAGACAGAAAGGTGAAAAAGAGAGGACCACTCCGCCCTCAGACAAAGGCATCAAAGCAGGGAAGTATGCAAGAAATAAGGCAACAGGGAGTGGCTTGATTTTCTGTTAGGACAAAAAACATGTATCACATATTTATGATTAGGCATTTCCAGTAAATAAGACTCTATATTAAACAGAATCAAGTTGCACTACTACTACTACTACAAACTATCAAATAAAATCAAACTTTATTCATAAAGCGCTATTCTGACAGTAATACAAATTTATAATTGACAATCTTGTAGAGTGCAGACTTCCACCAAAAGGACCAGTTCCATTCTTAGTGTTGTAAGAATGGAGTAGATCTGGTGCACACTAGGGTAGTCTTGCACAGTTTTTCCAATGTGGTTTTACTGCAAATGGCAAATAAATGAATCTGAATCTGAATCTGATTAGTTTTTCTGCTTACTAGTAAACATTCTTCATTAGTTCACAGAGCATTTTTTATTCATTGGTGTGGCATATTTAAGTAATCTTGTTTTGACACATGTTCAGAACTTGAGTAAAAAAAATTTCATTTATGTCCCTGCTCCCATCTGAGAGTGACTTCAAAACACAAAGGAATGGCTTTTTGATTCTAAATCTATATTCGGTAATTTAACATATTTAGATCCATATTGCAGATTATGTAGCACAAAATATATATACTTAGTTTTGACATATGCGCAATAATAGCTCAAGTATTATTTATTATCTTAAATATATTATTATTACTCATTATTATTATTATCTGGTTTGATGTGTGTTCTTATTTCTTCTATAATGAGCGCGATGACGACACTGAAACTTCCCCACTGTGGGACGAATAAAGGTTCTTCTCTATATTCTGGGAAAGGTATAGGGACAGATACATGAGGACCTCTGTGTCAGGAGGCTTGTCCAAAATCTTCTTCTCTTCACTCCAACAGTTGAACCAGATTTGGAGACAGTTAAATGTTAACAGCCATCGCGACATCTGGCGAGAGCGTTTCCTGTATAATGATGATGATGACGGTGAGGCTGGTCGGTGAGCACAGAGGTGGTGTTAAGTAAGGAGGACCCTGCCGTGTGAGCGATTGTAGTGTAAAGAACGGAGTCAGCAGCGGCCCGTGTGGATCATTGCCTTATTAATGGCTCCGTCAGGTGCTATGAGCAATGGCCGCATTGTCATCTCCAGCCCCTGGGCACAGATGAATGGCTGTTTCAGGGCGGGAAGGGCTCCCTCGTTCGCCGGGCCCCGCTCTAATCCCTCAGACGTCCGTTGTTGGATGCACTGTCACCCAGGACTCAGGCAGCGGTGGCGTACAGTACATTGCATTTGCGGCGCTCCACCAGACACGGACATGTTTTCCCCGCACTCGCAAAGACACACATAAACTGCTCCGGATTGTGGAGAGACACTGACTGATGGAAAAATATGCAGGGGTGATCGAGCATGCCCCGTATTACGTGATCTGGAACACTTTGAGAATGTTGATGAACTTTTATTTTGCACTTCACTAATTCACCAGGGTTGCATTGATCTCTGTCTGGTAGCATTACCTGGCTGAATCCTTCATGGACTAAATTAAAGAAGAAGGTCAACAGCGGACCAAAAATGTGCAGCATGGATTACCTTTAAACATTTCTGTAGTAAAACAAAATTCATTAAATTGTGCAAAAATAGAAGAAGCTACATTTCTTATTCCAAACAACAGCATCATGGGTTTCTTGAGGTGTAGACGTTGCTAGGCCTCTGCTGTCGGTGGGACTCTCAATTTGAGACGGTTCCTTATGCAGACCATGGAGATGCTATTCTAGGGGCAGAGCGCGCTCTCTGTCACCTCTGCAGATAATGGTGAGTCGCAGTGCAGAGCTGGAGGAGGACCCCCTGTGCCCACTCACAGCCCTTAGCCCCACTCTGACATGAGCAATAGTGCCCAGGCCTGACAGCATCTCCAGACATATTGTAGTTTATTTTGTCGCCCGGGTATGCCATCTGTGCCATTCCAGTGGAGGGAGTGTTTTGAAGCTGCGGCTGCCGGAGCGGTGCCGGGCCGGGCCCTCAGTAGATCTGCAGGCGCGGCAGGTCATTAGTCAAATTGCCTAATGAGAGAGAATACAAATGGCCCCCTACCCTGACAGGAGGAATTTTGGAGGTGTCAGAGCTCCTGACCCGTGCTATGAGAACAGATGATAGCGAGATGCTATTTTGAGATTCATTTAATGACTATGGCTCTATGAAAGCCATTTTTTGCTTTTATCTTCAGCAGCTTTCTCAAGCCCTCCAGACAGTAGCAGAGGAGAGAAAAAAGTATTTCAACATATTTGAGGAAAATGTCTGCTGCAAACGTGGCAGTGTATATTTTCTTTTTAATTATTCAGATGTTGACCAGCTAGTCAAAAAACAGTATCACAAAGAATGCAGCATGCCAGACATGACACACGATCCAGTGGTTTTCTCCATGATATTCAAGCACATAACAAATACAATCTGTTATGTGCTTACAGTTTGTT